AAGGTTCTGTGACAGCCATGTGACAGGCAAGGTTCTGTGACAACCATGTGACAGGCAGGGTTCTGTGACAATTGTGTAACAGGCAGGGCTCTGTGACATCCATGGCTCTGTGACAACCATGTGACAGGCAAGGTTCTGTGACAACTATGTGACAGGCAAGGTTCTGTGACAACCATGTGACAGGCAAAGTGTGACAACCATGTGACAGGCACAGTTCTGTGACAACTATTGACAGCCATGGCTCTGTGACAACCATGTAACATGTAGAGTTCTGTGACAACCAAAGCGTGACAATCATGTGACAGGCAGAGTTCTGTGACAACCATGTGACAGGTAGAGTTCTGTGACAACTATGTGACAGCAAGAGTTCTGTGACAACCGGGTGAAAGGCAGGGTTCTTAACAACCAAGTGACAGGGAGGGTTCAGTGACAATAGGAATATATGAAGCACACATGTGGTCAGCACCATCTACCCTACGCCAGGTTCTTATCATGAAGCACAAGTCCCACATATCTTTTTATATCTGCTGACCACAACAAGCTGAAGGACATGGCCTTGACCACAAGCTTCAGCAGTCACATGACAAGCTTCAGCAGTCACATGACAAACCACATCAGTCACATGACAAACCACATCAGTCACATGACAAACCACATCAGTCACACAGCCATGAAGTGGATCAATTTAACAAGTCACAAGGCTATACTAGCCCAGTTTAACTGGTTATAACTCTATAAGTTGTCACAGGACCAAGAGTTTTATAACGATGTCACACAGTCATGAGCTAGTAAATTAGGCCAACCAACAAAAAGACATTTTTTGGGTCAATTAGGAGTCATCAACAATGACAATACCATTATGAGTAATTATCCATGAGTAATTATCACATGCAACACATCAGTCAGCCGAAGCATCAAACTTATCACAAAGCCATGTGCCACACTGTCTATTGCACCCACATCACACATCCATGCACCTATGAGCCACGTTGCCATGAGCTATGATGGATCACACATCCATGCACCTATGAGCCCCATAGCCAAGAGCTATGGATCACACATCCATGCACCTATGAGCAAACATAGCCACGAGCTATGGATCACACATCCATGCACCTATGAGCCACGTAGCCATGAGCTATGGATCACACATCCATGCACCTATAAGCCACGTAGCCACGAGCTATGGATCACACATCCATGCACCTATGAGCCAGGTAGCCATGAGCTATAGATCACACATCAATGCACCTATGAGCCACGTAGCCATGAGCTATAGATCACACATCCATGCACCCATGAGGCACAAAGCTATGGATCACACATCCATGCACCTATGAGCCACGCAGCAATGAGTTAAAGATCACAAATCCATGCACCTATGAGCCACGCAGCCGTGAGCTATGGATCACACATCCATGGACCTATGAGCCACGTTGCCATGAGCTATGGATCACACATCCATGCACCTATGAGCCACACAGCAATGAGCTATGGATCACACATCCATGGACCTATGAGCCACATAGCCATCAGCTATGGATCACATATCAATGCACCTATGAGCCATGCATCACACACCCATGCACTTGTGTGCCATGAAGACCACACATCCATGCATCTATGAGCCACGTAGCCATCAGGTATGGATTACATGTTTATGCATCACACACCCATGCGTCATGAGCTATGGATCACACATCCATGCATAACACACCTATGCACCCATGAGCCATGCATCACACACCCATGAGCCATGCATCCCACACCCATGCACCTGTGTGCCATGAAGGCCACGCATCACACACCTGTGCACTATGGATCACACATCCATGCACCCATGAGCAATGAACCACACATCCATGCACCCATAAGCTATGGATCACACATCCATGCACCCATAAGCTACGAACCACACATCCAAGCACCCATGAGCTACAGATCACACATCCATGCACCCATGAGCTTATGGATCATACATCCATGCACCCATGAGCTATGGATCACACATCCATTAGCAATGAACCACATCCATGCACCCATGAGTTATAGAGCACACACCCATGAGCAATAAACCACACATCCATGCACCCAAGAACCATGTATCACACACTTATAAGGTATGTATAACACACCAATGAGGCTTCTTTCCCATTTAGAAGCATGAACCATTCACTCATGAGTGATGAAGCCATGATTCATATAGTGTAACACACAACCACAAGCCAAATTGCTTATGAGCAATGCACTGTGCACGCATAATCCATGTATTGTGCACCCACAAGCCACAACACCCGTGATCTGGGGATCTATAATTCATGCATGGCACACCCACCTGCTACAATGCCAGCAAGCCACCTACCCACAAGCCCAGCATCACACACCCACCTGCTACAAGCCACACACCCACAAGCCCAGCATCACACACCCACCTGCTACAAGCCACACACCCACTAGCCAAGGGTCACCCGCCCACCTGCTACAAGCCAGCAAGCCACCCGCCCACCTGCTACAAGCCAGCAAGCCACACGCCCACAAGCCCAGTGTCCCACCACACCCACAAGCCCAGTGTCCCACCACACCCAAGCCCAGTGTCCCACCACACCCAAGCCCAGCATCACACCCCCACAAGCCCAGCATCACACACCCCCACAAGCCCAGCATCACACCCCCCCCCCCCCCCCCCCCCAAGCCCAGCATCACACCCCCCCCCCCCAAGCCCAGCATCACACCCCCCCAAGCCCAGCATCACACCCTCCCAAGCCCCCCAGCATCACACCCCCCCCAAGCCCCCCAGCGTCACACACCCCCAAGCCCAGCGTCACACACCCCCAAGCCCAGCATCAAACACCCACAAGCCCAGCGTCACACACCCACAAGCCCAGCATCAAACACCCCCAAGCCCAGCGTCACACACCCCCAAGCCCAGCGTCACACACCCCCAAGCCCAGCGTCACACACCCACAAGCCCAGCGTCACACACCCCCAAGCCCAGCATCACACACATCTATGAACCACAACAAAGAAATCCCCACAGTATTTCTTGATGCACACAGAAAGGCAATGTAGTCTTACAATTCTGAAACCATAAAACAGGTGTTTTGACTAAAACAGCGGAATGTCACAAACATGACAACTTATTTTCACAATTTCAGGTACAAATTTTGAAGTTTCATTAAAGTTCTTGGCAAATATATTTCATATGACTGATTTCAAATTTTCATTTCTCATGTTCACAGATCACATTTAATATTTTGAAGAAACAAAATTTTATAGTGTAAAATCAACTACGATTCACATTACTGATATCAAAATATATGACTTTCATCACAAAATCATCAATCACTGACTGCGCCAAAGAAGGCATGTCAATTAGAAGATATTATGGTCAGTCGTCTACCAGCACGCCCCTGTGCAAGTGAGAACACGACAGCTAGGAACAGAAAGAGTTTCTGCACCATAGAGGCATCATTTCATCTCTGACCTCAGTCAAAATGTTTTCCCTTTTTTTTCAATGCACAAGTATACATGCTGGAACACTTGTCTCCCCAATCAGATAAACATTAATTAAAAGCATCAACACAAACTGTAACCCTCCTCCGATGACTCCACAGATGATACAATATTTATTTTTTTTTACAAACTGCATACAGAAAACAAATTAAAAGCAAGTTTCACCTACATGTACACACAGATTACAAATGAGGCACCAAAACACACAGCACTGAAAGATAAAATCTAGGTCTGAAAACACATCATTATGTACAGGTAATGTCACCATTCCTTGAAATGCAGTGACAGGCCAACGTATCTGGAGCACAGAAACCTCACTACTATAGTCCAGTGAAATGAGATTGTCCAGCAAAGTCACCAGTTTCTGGCAGCTGATTTACCACCTCATGCAGCATCTTCAGCAACCTCATGCAGCTGGTTCACCACCTCATGCAGCATCTTCAGCAACCTCATGCAGCTGGTTCACCACCTCATGCAGCATCTTCAGCAACCTCATGCAGCTGGTTCACCACCTCATGCAGCATCTTCAGCAACCTCATGCAGCTGGTTCACCACCTCATGCAGCATCTTCAGCAACCTCATGCAGCTGGTTCACCACCTCATGCAGCATCTTCAGCAACCTCATGCCGCTGGATGACCACCTCACACTTCAGCGACCATCACAAATGGCCACATGGTCATGTTTCAAACACATTAATTGGCAAACACTGAAATCCCAAATCATACAAGGGGAGACCAACAGATGCATTGCCAGATAATGCCTGCAAGTTCTGCACTAATCAAAATAATACAAGGCTATTCGTCTCAGTGCCGTGATTAAACTATCAACCATCTCACAAGATATTCAAATGAAATCACTGTCTAACCATCTGAACTGGAAAACAAAATCCTGCTAAAATGTGATTTTACAGAATAGGATGAACAATGAAGACAAACTGACAGAGATCTAACAGACCAAAGTTCAACCCTTTAAACATGTGAGATAACATAATACCTTGCAGAAACAATAAGGGAACGGGAGAAGACAACAGTTTCAATGTAAAGCTAGAAAAGAATGTGAGACAACTATAGAGATCACTACAGCTGCCTGTCAATGTCAGGATGCCAAGAGGTCTCATCTAGAATACTCGAACAAGGCAATGAGCATAATTCATGAACTTGTGTTACTGTTCTACAGGATATCACTAGGGTGATGGTTGATACTGCTCTGTCATTCAAAAATTAAGTATAAGAAAAAATGATGAGACATGACTTCTGAGACAAGACAGAAATGATGGGACATGACTTCTAAGACAAGACAGGAAGGTTAAGACAACCACTTGGACAAGACAGAAATGATGACAGACTTCTGAGACAAGACAGAAATGATGAGACATGACTTCTGCAACATTAATCTGAAGTTGCTGCATGAGATGATCTCATTATCAGAATGTTATTTATGGCGTTTAGTATGAGGTCCGGACAACCATATAAGACGAGGCCATCACCTATAGGAAGTCAGCTTCGCTGATCTCTTCACCGGCAACATCAGGAATTTTCCAGGAGATTTTCCTGCCAGCTTCATACAGCTCTTTGATAGTAGCAGACACCTGGGGACAGAAGTCAAATACCCGTACAATTACAATACCACACTGTGGGGCACACTCTACTCAGCTTTGTGTCATAGAAAAATCATTTGGTACCAATGCACAAAACTGACAACTGTAGTGATGCAGTTGTTTACAACTTTAGTGCTGATTCATCTTTTCACACACACTGTAGTGCTGTAGAGTTTCTCTGATATCTTCCCATCTTGTTTTTGGTCTACCTCTTGATCTATGTCCTCCTCTTTTGGTATATGCCTTGTATGGTATAGCATCAGAACACATTCTCTCCAAGTGGGCAAACCTTTTGATATGCTGTCTTTGTGTGTAATTTAGAACTGGTTCTGTGCCGACTTTATCTTGTATGACCTGATTCCTAATTTTATCTTTTCTCAGACACCTTATTTCCATGATTACTAATTTTCTTTTGTTTTGCTGTGCGTGACCACCTCTGGCACTGATAGCATAGGGTGGGAATGAATATGTTTTGTGTGAGATGTTTCATTGTGCTAATTGGGATTGCCTTGTGCTGCAAGAGGGGGGCTAACTGTCCCAATACTTGGCCTGCTTTACTGCATCAGATGTTAATTTCTTCATCCAATTTCCCATCTTCAGTGAATGTTGTTCCAAGATATTTAAACTCAGATGCCTGTTTAATATATGTATGCTCTAATGCTATATTTAAATTCTGCTTCTTTCTACCTATAGACATTACTTGTCTTTTCAATGTTAATTCTCATTTTATTTAATGGCTTAGGGAAAGAAAAATTTAAAATGTGCATGTCAGTCCTCCAGGCGACTAAGGGGGGATCCATGAGACAACATGGAGAGAGAACTGACCCGCCAGATAGACTCAGAAAACAAATCATTCTCCAGTGGACCCCGGCTCACTGCGGTATACCAGGAAATGAGTTAGCAAAAAAATGGAACAAAGGAGACACAAACCACCCATCCATTGTCATTACCAGAAATTAGAACACTTATCAAGAGAAAATACAAGGAATTGTGGAGAAAACAAACAGTAAACATCCACAAGACCCCATCAGCAGACTCAACAGAAAGCAACATACAACAATTTTCTGTCTACGAACAGGACACTGCTGGGTCAGCTACCACATGCATGAAATAAAGATTCTACAGTCCACACAGTGTGCCTGTCAAACAGGACCGCAAACACCTCAGCACATTCTGCAGACCAGCCCACTCTAACAACAACTTCGAAAAGACAATTGGCTTAAACAGCAAAGTGTGCAGAGCAAGCAATGGGGAACCATGAAGGACCTGCTACTGACATGCGAGTTCATAGAGGCAATCCACCTGATGGTCTGATCTGAGCATACAAAACCAAACACAAATAAGAAGAAGAAATTATTTCATTGACGTTCTTCATTTATGCATGTGAGATGATGTCACTCATGGCTGCTTCTGCAATCAAGGCCTGGTCACCAGCAAGAAGTAATTTATTGATGTGACTAATATTTTCATTTCTGGGCTTGGCATCTTTACTTATACTGTCAATGTAGGTGACAAACTGCAGTGGTGATAAGAATCATCCCTGTCTTACTCCAGAAGTTACTTTGAATGGTTTAGATGTTCCCTGACTTATTCTAACTACGCTTCTACAATCTCAATATAGACATTTGCAAACTTCAATGAGGTGTTGACTCACTGCATATGGATCCATTACTTTGAGTTGTTTGTGCCTATTAACCCTGTCAAGAATTAGACACCATAATTCCTCTGGTAACTTTACTTTCTATCTACTTCGTAGCTGCAGTAACTGCCTCTTTCTTCTCCATCCTTATGCTAAAGTTGCAGATTTAAAAAAAAAAGCACAATTTTGTTCAACCACCATCTTTCCCTTCACTTTAGCTGACAACCTCCAAAGAACGAGTCCATCAGTGTACACTATTGCGTTATCTAGCCCAGCGTTTCCATCTATCAGTTGTTGCGTTATCTAGCCCAGCGTTTCCATCTATCAGTTGTTGCGTTATCTAGCCCAGCGTTTCCATCTATCAGTTGTTGCGTTATCTAGCCCAGCGTTTCCATCTACCAGTTGTTGCGTTATCTAGCCCAGCGTTTCCATCTATCAGTTGTTGCGTTATCTAGCCTTGCGTTTCCATCTATCAGTTGTTGCGTTATCTAGCCCAGCGTTTCCATCTATCAGTTGTTGCGTTATCTAGCCCAGCGTTTCCATCTACCAGTTGTTGCGTTATCTAGCCCAGCGTTTCCATCTACCAGTTGTTGCGTTATCTAGCCCAGCGTTTCCATCTACCAGTTGTTGAGTTATCTAGCCCAGCGTTTCCATCTATCAGTTGTTGCGTTATCTAGCCCAGCGTTTCCATCTATCAGTTGTTGCGTTATCTAGCCCAGCGTTTCCATCTACCAGTTGTTGCGTTATCTAGCCCAGCGTTTCCATCTACCAGTTGTTGCGTTATCTAGCCCAGCGTTTCCATCTACCAGTTGTTGCGTTATCTAGCCCAGCGTTTCCATCTATCAGTTGTTGCGTTATCTAGCCCAGCGTTTCCATCTAACAGTTGTTGTACCAATAACTCTGTCCTACAGTTAAACCACTCTCTACTTTTTCTTCCTACGATGGAAACTGCTGTTATGTGTGATCCTGTTGTCCCATTCCGACCCTATGTGAATTTGCGCAAGTGAGAGCATCAGTGCGATGATAGCTTCAACTTGTGCCATCCATGACTTCCCTCTTTTCAACCAGCCTACTCTCAAATCATTGAGACTGCCATGCATCAATGGCAACTGGCATGTAGGCGTTGGCTTGTGCCAGTCACAGTCTAGACTTTGCCCATGTCAGCCCAAGCATATACCTCCTAGTTCTAATTGGTGTATTGTGCAAGCAACTCAAGACGATTTTCATTTCTTCAGTTTGAATCCTTTCGCAAGTTTTGTATGCTGCGAAGTAGACAGGGTTAAAATTCCTAGGCCAAAATCAATCGATGAAAGGACCAAATGGTTGAATAAAAAGACCAATAGTCTCTGTTCCATGTGTGTTGCCACCGTCGTCTTCAGTACCGCATTTGATCACAGTCTGTTCTATTAATATACGTATGTCAGATTACAACCAAATGTCAACTTTATGTATTTTAACCTGACTCTAATTTGCCTTTTATACCATTTACGGCTTTGTAGGGCAGGTCTTCCCTCTCCAGTTTAATTATTTAAGGAGCACCGCAAAATACTGGCCTTGTCCGTGTTTACCCCTGAGCCTGTCTGTTTACACCACTACATCATTTCATGAAGTGCACTTCGTAAGTCTGCAGTCATGTCATGCCTGTCTGACCCAGTTTAATACATCTGCAAATCTCAAAGTTCGCCCGGGTCCAGCGGGCTGAATTTCTTCCAAAATCGCAGCATATATTTTTAAACAAGATAGGTAACAACTGTGATTCCTGAGGAAGGTCAGGACTAATGTGTAATGGGTCTGATCATGTTTCCAAACATGATACCACTGTTGCTTCCAAAGTGCTGTCCTCATTCAGTTAGCCAACCAAGGGCTCACACCACAGTCTATCATACACTGCATAAGATATGTGAAGTCAACACTGTTAAAGGCATCTTCAAGATCTATTCCCACAACTAGTGTTTATAGCTTTTGCTGAAATCCTTCATACACATCAAGCTAATTGTGGTTAATGTCCTTTGACAGCAAACAAACAACAACGAAGCACAAACAGATCATTCTCCTAAAGAGAAATCTACAGTGAGGAGGAACCAGAGGGTCTGGCCAACACCCAACACACAGAGGACAGCAGGATGGACCTACAATCAGACTGTTACTTCTACCGAGGACAGCAGGATGGACCTACAATCAGACTTACCTCTACCGAGGACAGCAGGATGGACATACAATCAGACTGTTACTTCTACCGTGGACAGCAGGATGGACCTACAATCAGACTGTTACTTCTACCAAGGACAGCAGGATGAACCTACAATCAGACTTACTTCTACCAAGGACAGCAAGATGGACCTACAATCAGACTTACTTCTACAGAGGACAGCAAGATGGACCTACAAACAGACTGTTACTTCTACCGAGGACAGCAGGATGGACCTACAATCAGACTGTTACTTCTACCGAGGACAGCAGGATGGACCTACAATCAGACTTACTTCTACCGAGGACAGCAGGATGGACCTACAATCAGACTTACTTCTACCGAGGACAGCAGGATGGACCTACAATCAGACTTACTTCTACCGAGGACAGCAGGATGGACCTACAATAAGAATGTTACTTCTACCACAGGAAGTGGCATGCTGCGCTGGCTGCCAAAGATGGGCACCAACTAAACTGTTGGCAGTTAGAAATCAAAAATTGTAGAAGAAAGAACGGAGCAGTTTTGGGTTTCTACCCGTGTTCAATGATGATTCGTTGTTCAAAACCTCAAACCTCTTTCGTCAGTCTGAGAAACAGATCAATGGTCAGAGACCCCAGTGCAATGATGCAAGGTTCAAAGCTCTAACAGTCAGTGAGAGTGAAGGTCAAAGATGTTATGAACCTATCCTAAAACAGCATCTGCTGTAGTGTTTTCACTGACCTAGATTCGTTCATCCTTCCTCTCCTACTCTTAGATGTGTAAGAATGATTTTTTTTAAACGATCTTACATAATCTTGTCACTGTTGAATCAAGGCCAACAAGAGTCGCTGGGAGGCGGTAGTAGCCCTGCCCCCCAGAGTGTGTGAGAACGCTATGACCACAGATACACCCAGAGGGAGAGTTTACACACCTGAGTGGCGAGCCCAGGGTGTGTGAGAACGCTATGACAGAAACCCCCAGAGGGGGGGGAGTACACACCTTATCCTGGCCTTCTTCTTTCAGACGATCGTACAGGGTGTGTGAGAACGCTATAACGACAGAAACCCCCAGAGGGGGAGAGTACACACCTGATCGTGACCTTCTTCTTTCAGACGATCGTACAGTCTGTGTGAGAACGCTATAACGACAGAAACCCCCAGAGGGGGAGAGTACAAACCTTATCCTGGCCTTCTTCTTTCAGACGATCGTACAGGCTGTACAACTGCATGGCTGTGCGGGCATCCTCCACAGAATCGTGGGTGTACGACTGGATGTTGATTTCTGCAACAGACACACAATCCCTGTCAAGGCTTTGGATGACAATCATGGTCAAATGGTAAATGTCATCTACTTGAACAAAGCATGCAGTAGACAGCACTAAAGTATGTGGAGAGAGTCAGGACAAGAACAGAAACAGGAGAATTGTTTTCAATCAGTTAGTTGACATCTGGCTGTCATGGATTTCCAGAACAAACTCTTATCTTTGTAAAAAACTCTCTCAAACTGCTGTTTGTCTATCTCTTGATGTCCTCCAACTTTTATCTTGCTTTCTTGCCTATAATTTTTCCTTCCAGTGTGGTTTCTAAAAGGGTATTGTCTTTTAATGTTCCCACAATAGGAGAACTTCAGTAGAAAGACAAATAGAAAAGAGTAGAAATAATAAATAATGAAGGATCGAAAAAGAGCAAAACAATATTTAGTGAACAGAAGTAGAAATATGTTGTCTCTGACTTGGTCACAAGATGACCTAAATAGAAAAAGAAATATGTTGTCTCTAACTTACAGTCACAAGATGAACTAGGTAGACATATGGTGTCTCTCTCATGCAGTCACAAGGTAAAGACTGCATAGAAATATGTTTACTCCCTCTTGCAGTCACAAGGTTTAAAATAAAACTGCATAGAAATATGTTGTCTCCCTCTTGCAGTCACAAGGTAAAAACTGCATATAAATATGTTTACTCCCTCTTGCAATCACAAGGTTTAAAATAAAACTGCATAGAAATATGTTGTCTCCTTCTTGCAGTCACAAGGTAAAAACTGCATATAAATATGTTTACTCCCTCTTGCAGTCACAAGGTTTAAAATAAAACTGCATATAAATATGTCGTCTCCAACTTGGTTTTACAGTGAACTGGGTAGAAATGTCATCCCCCACCTACAGCCACAACTACAAGTATTAGTGAACTGGGTAGATATGCCATCCCCCAACTAACTTACAGTCACAAGGTGAACTGGGTAGAAATATGTTGTCTTCCTCTTGCAGTCACAAAGTGAAAATTTTGTAGAAATATGCTGTCTCCAACTTTCAGTTACACAGTGAACTGGGTAAAAATATCTCTCACATACAGCAACAACTACAAGTATGGGTGAAGTGGGCAGAAATGGCATCCCTCACCACTACACAAACAGGTGAAGCAAACGCAAGTCTGCTACAAACTGTAGAGATTTCTGCAACAAAAACAAGTACTTACTCAGAAAGTACCAGGCCAGGAACTTGAGAGAAATGTATCGCTGTCTCGGCTGGTGGTATAACTCGACTGTGTCCAGAACTTGGGCCTTTGGCACCTAATAGACAAACAAACAACATCTGGTCTTATGTGCTGACCAAGTCACATGTTCCACCTACTAATACTTGTTCTACCTACTAATACTTACAAGTTCCACCTATTCCTACTTACATGTTTCCCTTGCTCACACCTATCCCATGTTGTGTGGTCATAAATATCTTAGGTATGAATCCTAAATGTCAACCTTGTAAACTTGTTCTGCAACACATTTAAGACAGCAGTTGGTGCATCAACCTTGTAAACTTGTTCTGCAACACCTTCAAGAGGGCGGTTGGTGTATCCACCCTGTAAACTTGTTCTGCAACACCTTTAAGAGAGTGGTTAGTGCATCAACCCTGTAAACTTGTTCTGCAACACCTTTAAGAGAGCGGTTGGTGCATCAACCTTGTAAACTTGTTCTGCAACATCTTTAAGAGAGCGGTTGGTGCATCAACCTTGTAAACTTGTTCTGCAACACATTTAAGAGAGCAGTTGGTGCATCAACCTTGTAAACTTGTTCTGCAACACATTTAAGAGAGCAGTTGGTGCACTGTGTTGTGGTAAAGACATCTATTTTCAACAAATCCATTTATTAGTCGCCTCTACAACATTATTTGCTATAGGGCGATGGACCTATTATTTATTTCCCCCTTATAACAGAATCCACCGGAACTCACACAGGAAAACTTCCACAAATGAGGAGCTCTTCTGAAATAAGGAGTTCTGCTGTATCTCTAATCCTCATTCAAGGATGTATCCCATTCTAGTGTGATGTAATGGCTGAAACACAGCAAATTTTATGTAAATGGTGTTTTCCCCCCAGATTTTAGGAGCCCAGACAGCTCATCACAGAACATTTTAGAACAGTTTTTGAGCCCAGATGACTCACCACAGAACATTTTAGAACAGTTTGGGAGCCCAGATGACTCACCATAGAATATTTTAGAACAGTTTGAGAGCCCAGATGACTCACCATAGAATATTTTAGAAAGAGCTGGCAGCCCAGATATCTTATCACAGAAAATTACCCTTCAGTAAACCTATGCATTGAGCCTAATATTTAGTAAACCTATAGCACTAGCTTAACCTTCAGTAAACCCACAGCACTGAGCTTAACCTTCAGTAAACCTACAGCACTGAGCTAAACCTTCAGTAAACCTACAGCACTGAGCTAAACCTTCAGTAAACCTACAGCACTGAGCTTAACCTTCAGTAAACCTACAGCACTGAGCTTAACCTTCAGTAAACCTACAGCACTGAGCTTAACCTTCAGTAAACCTACAGCACTGAGCTTAACCTTCAGTAAACCTACAGCACTGAGCTTAACCTTCAGTAAACCTACAGCACTGAGCTTAACCTTCAGTAAACCTACAGCATTGAGCTTAACCTTCAGTAAACCTACAGCACTAGCTTAACCTTCAGTAAACCTACATCACTGAGCTTAACCTTCAGTAAACCACTAGCTTAACCTTCAGTAAACCACTAGCTTAACCTTTAGTAAACCTACATCACTGAGCTTAACCTTCAGTAAACCTACATCACTGAGCTTAACCTTCAGTAAACCTACAGCCCTGAGCTTAATCTTCAGTAAACCTACAGCACTAGCTTAACCTTCAGTAAACCTACAGCACTAGCTTAACCTTCAGTAAACCTACATCACTGAGCTTAACCTTCAGTAAACCTACAGCCCTGAGCTTAATCTTCAGTAAACCTACAGCACTAGCTTAACCTTCAGTAAACCTACAGCACTAGCTTAACCTTCAGTAAACCTACATCACTGAGCTTAACCTTCAGTAAACCACTAGCTTAACCTTTAGTAAACCTACAGCACTGAGCTTAACCTTCAGTAAACCTACAGCACTGAGCTTAACCTTCAGTAAACCTACAGCACTGAGCTTAACCTTCAGTAAACCTATAGCACTGAGCTTAACCTTCAGTAAACCTACAGCACTGAGCTTAACCTTCAGTAAAACTACAGCACTGAGCTTAACCTTCAGTAGACCTATAGCACTAGCTTAACCTTCAGTAAACCTACATCACTGAGCTTAACCTTCAGTAAACCACTAGCTTAACCTTTAGTAAACCTACAGCACTGAGTTAACCTTCAGTATACCTACAGCACTGAGCTTAACCTTCAGTAAACCTACAGCACTGAGCTTAACCTTCAGTAAACCTACAGCACTGAGCTTAACCTTCAGTAAACCTATAGCACTGAGCTTAACCTTCAGTAAACCTACAGCACTGAGCTTAACCTTCAGTAAACCTACAGCACTGAGCTTAACCTTCAGTAAACCTATAGCACTAGCTTAACCTTCAGTAAACCTACATCTCTGAGCTTAACCTTCAGTAAACCACAAGCTTAACCTTCAGTAAACCTACAGCACTGAGCTAAACCTTCAGTAATCCTATAGCACTGAGCTTAACCTTCAGTAAACCTATAGCACTGAGCTTAACCTTCAGTAAACCTACAGCACTAGCTCAACCTTCAGTAAACCTACATCACTGAGCTTAACCTTCAGTAAACCTACAGCACTGAGCTTAACCTTCAGTAAACCTATAGCACTGAGCTTCCCTTCAGTAAACCTACAGCACTAGCTTAACCTTCAGTAAACCTACATCACTGAGCTAACCTTCAGTAAACCTATAGCACTGAGCTTAACCTTTAGTAAACCTATAGCACTGAGCTTAACCTTCAGTAAACCTACAGCACTGAGCTTAACCTTCAGTAAACCTATAGCACTGAGCTTAACCTTCAGTAAACCTATAGCACTGAGCTTAACCTTCAGTAAACCTAAAGCACTGAGCTTAACCTTCAGTAAACCACTAGTTTAACCTTCAGTAAACCCACATCACTGAGCTTAACCTTCAGTAAACCTACATCACTGAGCTTAACCTTCAGTAAACCTACAGCAGTGAGCCTAATATTTAGTAAATCAACAGAGCTAAGTCAGTAACTGAAGAGGTCTCATACATACCAAAATGTTGATAACTCTGAAATCTTTCTTCAGGCCATGGCCGAGCAAGATAACTCCATTATCTACCAGGTAGCGAAGTTTCAGATAGGTGGACTTGAGGGTGGTCAGGTGTTTTGTGGACACACTCGGGTCCAGGTCTCCTGGCTTGATTCCTGAGTACTGTGTCAAGTAATCAACGACCTGGTTTTGCAGAAATCAAACCAAAAATGCATAAAACTTGGCACTCACATATTTTAAACAACTTCCCAGTAATAATTGCTGGATAAAAACTATAAACTTATGACAGGGTGAATACTGTCCCACTTATGCTGAAGCAAAATGTAAAACTGACAGGTCAAAGGCATCTGCAGGATTTGTACAAGAACATTAGCACAATGAACCTCTTTAAACTACAGTGAGAAGATGGGAAATGCAATGGTATGGACATGTAATAAGATCTAATGGCCTCTCAAAAACAATGATACTACAAGAGCTATTAAAAGGGAAGAGGAGAAGAGGCAGATCAAGGAAGACCTGGATACGGAAGTTGACTGACTGGACAGACCTCAGGCAAACAACCATGAAGTCTATCGCATCTGGCTGCCAAAGGTGGAGGGAGTTGATCAGACAGTCGTCAGCAACTGGTGACCTAACGAAATGCAGTGTGTTGGGACGATGACAACAAAGCACGCATACAAAATATAAGCAGCACTATGAATGTTAACAGCTAGCATAAACAAAGGGCCAATGCAAACACCAGGTTTCCTTAAACAATAGTGAGCATCAACAGTTGGCACGTATAAACATCAGTTGTCCTGACTAAACAGTAAAAACCAGCATAAACAGTTGGCACATATAAACATCAGTTGTCCTGACTAAACAGCATAAACCAGCATAAACAGTTGGCACATATAAACATCAGTTGTCCTGACTAAACAGTATAAACCAGCATAAACAGTTGGCACATATAAACAGTTGTCCTGACTAAACAGTATAAACCAGCATAAACAGTTGGCACATATAAACATTAGCTGAGCTAGCAAAACTGTAAATTGGTATGACAATTAAGCCTGGATAAACATTAATATGACTACGTAAATATTAGAAGACCTGACTCAAGAGACCAGGCAGTGACCTCAATTATGTGTGAACATGGGACTGTTCCGACTAACATAATGACTGACCTGTTCCTGTGTGCTGATGTAATCGTCCAAGAATGGTTCCCCTTTATGCGGTCCAGAACTTGAAAAGATAGGTGATGGGAACATGCCAAGTGTTACAGTAATAATAGTGATTGTAATCTATATATTACCAAAACTTTAGCCAAAAAAACAAAAAAACTGAGCAAACCTCTATATTAGGTTGGCACAGCACAAAAGTGAAAGCTGTGTGTGTCTCAAATGTGTGCATCTAATGTAACTTACAGTACATATACAAAGTTAAGCATTACCTTTCATACAACTTCGCAATTTTCACTTGGGGCTTTGTGACTTCCTCAAAACAGGGATTTAGCACTCAGGTAATTCGGGCATAGTGCCAATGATATGTAATATGTGAGACGAGATTTAGGCTGGTCGAGTTTCCTTGTCTAAATTTTGTTTCCTGGCTACCGGGAAAGCTAACTGGGATAATAAATGCTTGAAAAAGCTGGATGTGTCTGCCGAAAGGTAAAAATATTGTTAGCTATATTGTAAACAAGCACAACACATTTACGTCACCCCGACGAACAATGGAGGAAGTTTCCTAGCTGAAATTTTGAACTTTTCATAACTATTTATAGAGTGGTGGTCCTGTAATGGGTTAGCACAAACTTCTGTCAACCCAATATTTGAACGACCCCCCCCCCCCCCCCCCCCCCCCAGCATATTATTAAAATTCACCTAGGCTCAAACAAGCCTAAAATAGCATCAAGAAATGTTCTGGAAAGCCAAAGTGGCTTACAAGATACAGACCAAATCAACCATAAATGCCATCTATACATATATAAGGCTTGCAACAGATGCCCAATATACTTAAATGTGTAGAAATCAGTGAGGTGACACCGATTGCCAAGATGTCACGCCCACCACGAGATTATTCTATTGTCACATCAAGTATTTTATTATACTGTCAGTTCTATCATCAAGACATCATTGGTATCATCACATGTCATCACAATGCCCTTCCAAAATCAAGTGATGTGGGTCTCATTATCCTGCACTTCAAACATCACATGATTCTATCATCATGCCACTTCCAACATCATCTTGTTACTTTGGTCTCATGTAACCCCAATCAGTTACAATGTGGAAGTTGTGCAACTCATTCACGCCAGCTGGTCAAGAAAACAGAGTCCAGTAAACAACCAACCAAACCATTGTGGTCATGTTCTATCCATCTTACTTGTCCACTTCCCTCACCTTCCAATCTAAACTTAGGAGGTTGCACACCTTCTTCTTCTTCTTCTGCGTTCGATATCAGTCATGCTAAACATTGAGTCCCGTCTGGGTCACAAATAGGATTGTGCGTTTAAGGTCGCCACCGGTCCCCCATAGCTTCTCTTTCAATGTGGCTCCCTTGGCCAGATCCACAGTCTTTGCTGGGAGAGGTAAGGGCAGTACTGCAGTATGTGTTCAGGGGTTTGTCTTTCTGCTCCACAATCACAGGCAGCAGATTCTTTTATGCCTATCCTGTACAAGTGTGCTCGAAGACCACAGTGTCCAGTCCGAAGTCTAAGAATTGATGTTTGTTCTTTCCTGTTGAGTTTGTTTATGCTGTCACTCTCTGGTCTGTAATCTCCATTCTGCCTTCTCCACTCCCGCTTGAAAGACTGCTTTAGCGCTGTTTTGGTTTCCTTGTAGCTGTGTGGTGGATGAGGTTGTGGAAGATTACTCCCAGCTTTTGCCAACTCATCTGCTCTCTCATTTCCTTGAATACCACAGTGGGCTGGTATCCACTGCAAGACCAGTTCTGCTTCCTTGGAGAGTAAGCCAATGTTGGTCCTTAGATCAGCAATTATTTTGTCTTGTTTTTTGCTGGATAGTGCTTGGAGAACAGACAATGAGTCGCTAAGTATAACAATTTGGTGCCCTCTGTGTTCTTGAGTGATGAGATGTTGGACTGCAGAGAGGAGAGCAGTTGCCTCAGCTCTGAAGTTAGTGCAGATGTCACCTGCTGGTAGAGAGAGTTTCTGCTCTACTGCTAGGGGGTTTAATGTAAATTCCACAACCCCCCTTTCTGACTTCATCTGTAGCAGAGCCGTCGGTGAAAACCTGAGTCCAAGTGGTGTTTGGATACTTATCAAGCATAGCAAGAGCCAGGGTTCTCTGTTGTGTCTCCGTCTGGACATCTTTTGAAGTGATTCCTGGTACCTTTAGGACTACATTTGCTTTCTCTGGCTTGCTTGTCCATTGTTCTGGCCTAAGTTTTTCGCACAGTGCAACATCTCTTTCAAGCAGATTTTGGTGCTGTCTGTACAGTTCTCTAGCAAGGTGGTTGGGGCTCTGACGCTTCAGTCTGTTTTTTGTTCTCTCTTGAAATTTAAAATGCAGTGGGTGACTTTGAAGTCTTTTTAATTTCTCATACTGTAAAAGAGTTTTGTATTGTCTTCTGAGTTCGAGTGGTTCAGTATCTGCTATCTTTTCTATTTCTCTGATGGGGGTGGTTTTCATGGCTCCGAGAACAATCCTTAATCCCATATTCTGAACCTTGTCCAGTTTTCCCATTGTTGTCTTGGCTGCTGCAGCCCATGCAGTGGAGGCATATTCCATGACTGGCCTGACTGCTCCAGTATATACTTGTTTTAGGATTCTAGAGTTAGGGCCCCATGTGGTACCCGCTAATTTTTTCATAACTGCAAGCTTCTTGAATGCTTTTCCCTGTACTGCTTCTACATGTGACTTCCAAGTTAGTCGCGAATCAAGTGTAACGCCCAGAAAGGTAGGAGTGTCAGTCTGTGGAATGAGCTGGTTTTTAATCCAAATTTCGATTTTTTCTTTTTTTGGGGAGAGAGAGAAAAGTGATGCTGTGCTTTTTGATTTATTTAGCTTTAGACCCCACTTTTCGGTCCAGGCTTCTACATTTTCCACAGTTTTTTGTAACAGATATGAGGCTGTGGTAGTGTATTCGGAGGCTGTCCAAACTGCAAAGTCATTGGCCTGTAGGGTATTAAAAACGTGCTGGTGGCAGGTTGCTGTGATATCATTAATGTAAACCAGGAACAGAGTTGGTGATATAGCACTGCCCTGGGGAACTCCTCCTCTAAGTTTTGCCAGTTTGCCAATGTGTCCATCAATTCTGAATCTGGCTCTGCGTTGGAAAAGAAAGTCTTTGATCCACCTGTACATGTTGTGCACAACTCCTGCCTGTAGCAGTTTTAGTTGTAGGCCTTCTTTCCAAACTGTATCAAAAGCACGAGAGAGGTCAAAAAAGACAGCAAGAACTTTCTTTTTTTCCTGGAAGGCATTCTCAATTTCCTGTGTCAGATATGTCAACTGGTCCTCTGTATTTCTGTGCTGTCTGTATCCTGTCTGGGTGGTGGTGATTACTGAGTTTGTCTCCAGGAACCATATTAGTCTTTTATTTACTAATTTCTCCATCAATTTTCCTACACAACTAAGAAGGCTAATAGGTCTGTAGCTTTTTGGGTCTCTTCTGTCTCCACCCTTTTTAAGGATAGGCTGGATGAGGGCTTCCTTCCAGGCTGACGGTACTACCCCTTTTTGCCAGCTCTGGTTGTAGATGCAGAGGAGAAACTTCTTGGCAGCAGGTCCAAGATGAGAGAAATTCGTTTGTAATGCCGTCAGCCCCTGGGGCTTTCTTCATTTTCAACTCTCCAATTCCAACTTCCAGCTCTTGCATGGTAAACCTTTCTGACATGCATGCCTCTTTAGTTTTTGTGCTAAAGTCTGCTAGAAGAGTCTTGGTCTGGTTTCGTACTTCTTTTATTCTTTGCATGGGAATATGAACCTCAGTTTCCTTCTGGTGTGTTTCGGCTAGCACATCTGCTGCTACCTTGCCAGTAAACGATCCATCGTCTGTTTGGAGTACAACTCTGGCTTTTTCCGTCTTGTCTCCATTCAAGCTTTTTGTGAGATTCCACAGACGTGAAGTGTCCTTCTCGAGGTTAAATGACGCTGTCTTTTTGTGCCAGCTTTCCCTCATCTGATTATTTCTCTCTCTGACGAAGGCTGCTTTTGCTCTGTTACGAAGTATTACATTTTTATCTGTCGGATCCTTCTCCATATTTTCCCTCCTGGTACTAAGTTTGGAATGCAGAGTGTCCAGTTCAGGCGACCAGTAAGGTTTAAAGTTTTTCCTGCTGCCTCGTGGTATGTTACCCTTGGCTGCATTTAGAATAGTTGTGTTGAGGATCTTCAGTTTGGCATTTATTTCCAGTCTTCTGAAGAAGACTCTCCTCAACATGTCGTCCAAATAGGAAGTGAAGAGGCTCCAGTTAGCCTTCTTGTAGTTCCAGCTGGGAGGGTTCTTTTCCTTAGTAACTTCTCTACTTTTGTTAATAGAAAGGATTACGGGCCTGTGGTCACTGCCTCCCAGCTGTTGACATACATCCCGGCTGGTAACTTTCTCCACATCTTCAGTTGCTATAGCCAAGTCTGGAGTGCTGGTTTTCCTCCAAGCTCGAGAGTAGAATGTGTCTGGGTCGTCACGATGATTTATCAGAACTAGAGTGTTGCTGATTATCCAGTTTTCTACCTCTTCTCCTTTCACATTGAGGTCTGTGTAGCCCCAGCTAGGTGAGTGGCTATTTAGATCTCCGACAGCAATCCAGTTTTCTGTGTTTAGTAGGATGGGTCCCAGATTAATATCTCTGTTTGGTGGTGAGTAGATGTTGCATACTGTCACATCTTCCCTTGCACCCTTAATAGTGACTGTGATAAACTCTGTATCTCCACACTGAGATCTCTGGGTTTCCCAAGCTGTGATCGTGTTCTTGACAGCAGTCAAGACTCCTCCTTTTGGTCGATCTAACCTGTCGTGTCGGAAGATTTGGTATCCCCTGATAGAGAATCTGTGTGCACTTGTGAGGTGAGTCTCTTGGATGCAGCATATGTCGATATCGTGCTGCTTCAAGAAATTGTGTAGTTCAGTTTTCTTCAGTCTCACTCCCTCGGCATTCCAGTGCATAATTGTCAGTTTGTGTCCAGTTGCATTACTCTGTTCTTCCCTGGTCACTCCAGAAGATTCAGAGGTTGTGGCTCTGGTAGCTTGGGGTGGGCCCCCTCGAGGCTGAGGGCCCGGCGCCATCCCTACCCGTCCACGTCCCATAGGAATGACACCATAACGTGATAATTTTGTTTGCATGACCATATCGCTAGTGCGTAGATGCCCGATTTTTAGTCCCGTGCCAAGTAGGCTGACATCTTCCGACTTCGACGGTTGAGGGTTTTTTTTCAGGATTCCCCCTCCCATAGGCTGATTGCCTTCCAGGGCTTATGAGTTCTGCCTACCCACATTTTCTGTCGGGCTTTGTGGTTGCACACCTGAAATAGAACTTACTATCCTTGTTATGTGCCATTTATTTTACTTGAATTTTGCCTGTCCCTCACCAAGCAATCTAAACAACATAGGAGGTGGCACACCCTGAAATAGAACTGACTATCCTTGTTATGTGCCATTTATTTTACTTGAACTTTGCCTTTCCCTCACCAAGCAATCTAAACAACATAGGAGGTGGCACACCCTGAAATAGAACTGACTATCCTTGTTATGTGCCATTTATTTTACTTGAACTTTGCCTTTCCCTCACCAAGCAATCTAAACAACATAGGAGGTTGCACACCCTGAAATAGAACTGACTATCCTTGTTATGTGCCATTTATTATACTTGAACTTTGCCTCTCTCTCATCAAGCAATCTAAACAACATAGGAGGTGGCACACCCTGAAATAGAACTGACTATCCTTGTTATGTGCCATTTATTTGACTAGAACTTTGCCTTTCCCTCACCAAGCAATCTAAACAACATAGAAGGTTGCACACCCTGAAACAGAACTGACTATCCTTGTTATGTGCCATTTATTTTACTTGAACTTTGCCTTTCCCTCATCAAGCAATCTAAACAACATAGGAGGTGGCACACCCTGAATTAGAACTGACTATCCTTGTTATGACCCATTTATTTGACTAGAACTTTGCCTTTCCCTCACCAAGCAATCTAAACATAGGAGGTTGCACACCCTGAAACAAAAGTGACTATCCTTGTTATGTGCCATTTATTTTACTTGAACTTTGCCTTTCCCTCACCAAGCAATCTAAACAACATAGGAGGTTGCACACCCTGAAACAGAAGTGACTATCCTTGTTATGTGCCATGTATTTGACTAGAACTTTGCCTTTCCCTCACCAAGCAATCTAGACACAGCAGAACCTACCATCGGATGCATGTCAGCCTGGCCACAGACATCTGAGTTGGAAGGATTGTCGATCTGGTACCATCACTTCTTAGCTCTGCTTCTTCCTGTATATTCAGAGGAGAAAGAAAAATGTGTGCAGAAGATTCTTATAAACACACATAACCAAAAGAAGAAAAATGTCAATGTTGCAAAAATACAATAACACACGACAAGAGTGGTCGTGCAGGTACAAAGCCTTCATCCTTAAATAGAAAGATTAACATCAATACAACATATCAAGGCAAAACTTTTGGCCAAGAGAAACAGCAGTGGAAGCCAAACTGTACGTGTCATTGAGTGAAATACAAAAGACAGTGAAGTTCATACCAGAGACAGCTTGCAGATTTAGATCCATCTATTTCAAGCAAATGAAAGAAGAAGAAGAATCACCATCAAAATGTTATCTTCATCATCAGAGTAGGCAGCCATGATCTCCCATCTCAAACAATCACTAATATTCATTATCTTCTATTTTGGCTTCCTTCATAAACTTCAGTCTTCTGTACATTCTTGAGACTTGCATGGAGTTCAACGTCCAGGGTTGTTTCATTCAGCCATACAAAAGTTCTTTCTGAGGCTTCTTTCCATAAGTGTTCTACTGTGTGTGCAATGTTTAGTGTTGCTTAACCAACAATGCTGGGTTACCTGGTCATCCATGAGTTTTTTGTTGGTCTGCCACAGTCAGATATTATAACACCATCTTTTTGCAATTATATTTAGGTTTTGCAGCCCAATATCCATTAGTGATATATGATAAGTGTTTGAATGGCTTATCTGTGCTCACTTGGGTTTCCCACTGCAATTATTTCCATCTCAGTGTTACCACAAATTGTATGCTTGTTTGCTTGCCTGTTATAGCAGAGTTGCTTTCACCAGCAAAATTCAGCAGAAATTCTGATGTTTTTCCCCCACTTATGAGCATGTTTTGTTCTACAAGTTTTACATGCACATCTATTTTACAGACCTAGCTTATCTGCATGCAGACTGTTGGTTCCTCACCTATCAGGGAGATACATTCTAACTTTGAAGGAAAGAGCCCAGTTAGCCCACTCAGACCATGCATATTAGAGCAGAAGTGGGTCTATGGTTTCCCTACAAACCCACACACAGATGTGGTCGAGTGTTTTGATACTCTTTCAAACATGCAGTTATGTTATCACATACCTCATTTCTTCCATACCTAGCCTAGCAGGGTACCAGAAACATGAGCAGCAGGAAATATTGTGGGAAGTATAGGTGGCTGATATGAAAAAGTGTGCTGGTTCTAGAAATTTAGAGCAAGTCCCACACACACAACACAATACACAGCACTTCAAACTACTATTTTTTTTTTTTTTTTTTTTTTAAATAATTAAGACATTCAAGCCAGCAAGATAATTGTATTCAACATACTATTTCTACCGTTAAAATATCACATAAATTGAAATTAACACCCTATTTCTACAGCTAAATTATCACAGACAATTCAATACACTATTTCTACAGATAAATTATCATAGAAATTGAATTTAACACTATTTCAACAGGTAAATTATGACAGAAATTGAATTCAACACACTATTTTTTTTTAGCTAAATCATCACAGAAATTAAATTATACAGCTAAAATATCATAGAAATTGAATTCCAACACATTATTTGTACAGCTACATTACCACAGAAATTAGGAAAGTAAAATTACATATATTAAAAAAACCCACCTCATAACAGAAAACCTTGAGTAAATGTCTCAATGCACCAAGATATAACTTTAAAAAAAAACAACAACATGACCGAAAGGATCTAGTACCTCTTTGAGAGAAACAAACTCTGCATCCAGTGCTACAATCTCCCCCTTCTTTGGAAGCTCCTCAGCTTGTAGAGGCAGGAAGGTAACCTTCCGACGGTCGGGGTTGAGCAGGGCAGTGTCATTGAATAAAATATCTGGATTCGACCAGGACTTCACTGGGGACAAAAATATTCACGAAAATCACTGAACCATTTCCAAATCATTATTTGCAAACTACTAAGTAATACTGAAGTAAACAAGGGCAGCTAACCTCTGGGGAAGATTCCCTTCAGAATTGTCCCTTTACATTGAAATATTACCAGCCTATTGAGTCATGACTCCCGATTCCCCTCCTCCAACGTCTTTCCATCATCATCCACTTTTGCCAACAAGTGCCAAGAGGAAATGTCGCTGATCCAGTGCTAGACAGATGTCAAACTGACTACTGCTATTGCCTGTGAATTGAAGATATCTTGAATTTCCATCGATACATCCTCTCCTTGAGCACCTATTTATTCTTGTCAAAGATCGCTGATGAAGTGCAAGTGTTAGTAACTGATGATGTGACATTCGTTCGAGATGCCAGTTTGATCTTATGTTTCGTACTTTGTATTTTTGCACAAGTCAGGTATCTGTACCTAACCCCCCCCCCCCCCCCCCCCCCCCCCCCCTCCAATCAGCAGGTCTTGTAAGTCAACCCCCCCCCTCCCCCCACCACCATCAGGCCTCAGCAGCACATCTAAACACAACACACCTGTCAGGTCATATTGAAAGACGAAGTTTCCAGGTAACAATACATCCAAACACAACATACCTGTCAGGTCATATTGAAAGACAAAGTTTCCAGGTAACAATACATTCAAACACAACACACCTGTCAGGTCATATTGAAAGACAAAGTTTCCAGGTAACAATACATCCAAACACAACACACCTGTCAGGTCATATTGAAAGACAAAGTTTTCAGGTAACAATACATCCAAACACAACACACCTGTCAGGTCATATTGAAAGACAAAGTTTCCAGGTAACAATATATCCAAACACACCACACCTGTCAGGTCATATTGAAAGACAAATTTTCCAGGTAACAATACATCCAAACACAACACACCTGTCAGGTCATATTGAAAGACAAAGTTCCCAGGTAACAATATATCCAAACACACCACACCTGTCAGGTCATATTGAAAGACAAATTTTCCAGGTAACAATACATCCAAACACAACACACCTGTCAGGTCGTATCGAGAGACAAAATTTTCCAGGTAACAATACATCCAAACACAACATACCTGTCAGGCCATATTGAAAGACAAAGTTTCCAGGTAACAATACATCCAAACACAACACACCTGTCAGGTCATATTGAAAGACAAAGTTTCCAGGTAACAATATATCCAAACACACCACACCTGTCAGGTCATATTGAAAGACAAATTTTCCAGGTAACAATACATCCAAACACAACACACCTGTCAGGTCATATTGAAAGACAAAGTTCCCAGGTAACAATATATCCAAACACACCACACCTGTCAGGTCATATTGAAAGACAAATTTTCCAGGTAACAATACATCCAAACACAACACACCTGTCAGGTCGTATCGAGAGACAAAATTTTCCAGGTAACAATACATCCAAACACAACATACCTGGTCAGGTTGTATCGAGAGAAATTTTACAGGTAACAGTACATCCAAACACAACACACCTGTCAGGTCATATCGACAGACAAAGTTTCCAGGTAACTATACATCCAAACACAACCTACCTGTGAGGTCGTATCGAGAGACAAAGTTTCTGCGGGTGTAGTGAATAATACAAGGGACGTTCCAATCCAGTTTAAAATCCACGGCCTCATCCTGAGTAAGATATCATTGTCAAATTAGTCAATTAGTCATGGTGGTGCTGAAGCTGATCTTAAATGGCTTACAGTGATCGACAACTACTAAAAGAAGAATCGGAGAAAGTTGAGACATATTCCACTTGTGGAAAACAATGTCTAATGTTTCTGTCCACCACTGACTGGGGCGGACCCAGGCACTTTGTGTATCATATGGTCAGAGAACTTCAGTTGATGAGATCTGCAGCAGCATTTTCACAAGACATGTATCAACCGGTTGTATTTTTCCTTTTCATTCTCTTCTAATCTGGTTTCCTTCATAAACTTCAGTCTTCTGTACATTCTTGAGACTTGCACAGAGTTCAACATCCAGGGTTGTTTCATTCAGCCATACAAAAGTTCTGAGGTTTTTTCCTCAAGTGTTCAACTATTTGTGCAATGCTTAGTGTTGTACTATATGTTCACTGTTTAATGTTGTACTATATGTTCACTGTTTAGTGTTGTACTATATGTTCACTGTTTAGTGTTGTACTATATGTTCACTGTTTAGTGTTGTACTATATGTTCACTGTTTAGTGTTGTACTATAGGTTTACTGTTTAGTGTTGTACTATAGGTTTACTGTTTAGTGTTGTACTATAGGTTTACTGTTTAGTGTTGTACTATATGTTTACTGTTTAGTGTTGTACTACATGTTTACTGTTTAGTGTTGTACTACATGTTCAATGTTTAGTGTTGTACTATATGTTCAATGTTTAGTGTTGTACTACATGTTCAATGTTTAGTGTTGTACTATATGTTCAATGTTTAGTGTTGTACTACATGTTCAATGTTTAGTGTTGTACTACATGTTCAATGTTTAGTGTTGTAATTTGTTTCTTTAATTATCAGCTATTTATGTTAGAAGTTTGCACAGTGGAACCCCAATATTCGTCTCTTAAAAAATGTTCGCCTGCAGTAAAATGCAGGTTTTCGTTGAGAAATGACACACAAACATTGCTACTGTTAATCAGAGTACCAATGTGTTTGGACATTTTTGTAAAATTTGAAGGAAACAGAACACAACAAACAAATCTGGATAGCTTTAAAAAAACCGAGCGCTGTTGAATTGTCTAATATAACCGGCCAATCATCAGAAGAAACATTACATGATGTTATAATGGAAGATGACTCCTCTTCCAAACAATAGCCACAGGTATTTTTTTTAATCAAATTTTAAAATGGTATTTATGTTGGCCAACAGTAAATCTGTGTCATCAGAACAAGTCAATCTCTGTCATAATGATAAAGCAATAATAACTACAGTGATTATTATGTAATTAAAATATTTTTGCAATGATTTCCAAAAATCGGTTTTCTAGTGAAATTCATTTTTGTTTGTTAAAGAATAAATAGGTAAAATTCCAGGCTGGGAATGGAATAAACCCTTTTTAGTTAATTACTATGGGGAAAAAAACATATTCGTGCTTTTTGAATATCTATTCTCCTGTCAGGAAGGGACTAATGATGAATACTGGAGTTCCACTGTGTTTGTAGTCTTGGTCCAGGAAGTTACAGAAATGAAACATTTAAAATCCCTGTACTAGACCGTGTGGGAGGTAAGTGTATTACATACATATGTGCCATGGAGACACCTGACAAGCTGGATCTGTGATGAAGATGGTCAGCAAATTAAAATTACTTTTTTTCGGAGAGTGACTACCACCAGATTTATCAAAGTGCAATAAAATAAGTTTGATAAAAAGTATGTGATTAAAACGACCTATTTAAAAAAAAAGGGGGTGGTTAAGATGTACTGTCACAATGTTAAAAGTTTCACAATAGAAAACCTACCTTCTCAACTGGGGTGATGCAGAAATCATTGATGAGGTACCACTGTGTGCAGGTGACTCTCTCCTTGCGCTGATGGTACTTCTCTCCCACCTTGAGACAACACACCAGGTTGCCCCCAGAAGAGGACAGCACATTACTGACCACACTGTACAGCTCATAGTACCTGACATCCTCATTCTCTGTACTTGGCAAAGGTTCCTGCCAACAAACACCATTACATGATCATCAAGTGCAATGTAAATGTATTCTTAGCCACATTGTTCAAAATATCATTTGATGATTTATTGATGCACCACTATCTGTTCTTTGTTGCAAATCAGGACACCACTTTTCATCAGTCTCCACAGTTCAGAAGTGACTGACCACACAAACAACTTTGTTGCAAATAGGAATATACTTTTTGTCAGTCCCCGCAATTCAGAAGCGACTGACCACAAACAACTTTGTTGCAGATTGGACATCACTTTTCATCAGTCCCAACAGTTCAGAAGTAATTGACCACAAACATCTGTTATCAGTAACAGTAATGACATGATTGTGGCTGCTGTTTAGACAGATGTCTTTTAAATCTCAAAGGGCAACTCTGTCCACAGACACTTGTACAGATCCCATTTTTTTGCTCAGATTTCTGTGGAAGAGGTTGGGAGGTACATGACTGGGTGTGCAGTTCTGAAGCTATGTCTTGACAAGTCATGTTCAAGTGTTGCTACTAAACACTGTTTGACATATGAATCCTCAGTATATGTCTGATGAGTCATGTTCAAGTGATGCTACAAAACACTGACATATGAATCCTCAGTATATGTCTGATAAGTCATGTTCAAGTGTTGCTACCAAACACTGACATATGAATCCTCAGTATATGTCTGATAAGTCATGTTTAAGTGTTGCTACCAAACACTGACATATGAATCCTCAGTATATGTCTGATAAGTCATGTTTAAGTGTTGCTACTAAACACTGACATATGAATCCTCAGTATATGTCTGATAAGTCATGTTCAAGTGTTGCTACCAAACACTGACATATGAATCCTCAGTATATGTCTGATAAGTCATGTTTAAGTGTTGCTACCAAACACTGACATATGAATCCTCAGTATATGTCTGATAAGTCATGTTCAAGTGTTGCTACCAAACACTGACATATGAATCCTCAGTATATGTCTGATAAGTCATGTTTAAGTGTTGCTACCAAACACTGACATATGAATCCTCAGTATATGTCTGATAAGTCATGTTTAAGTGTTGCTACCAAACACTGACATATGAATCCTCAGTATATGTCTGATAAGTCATGTTTAAGTGTTGCTACCAAACACTGACATATGAATCCTCAGTATATGTCTGACAAGTCATGTTCAAGTGTTGCTACCAAACACTGACATATGAATCCTCAGTATATGTCTGATAAGTCATGTTTAAGTGTTGCTACCAAACACTGACATATGAATCCTTAGTATATGTCTGATAAGTCATGTTTAAGTGTTGCTACCAAACACTGACATATGAATCCTCAGTATATGTCTGACAAGTCATGTTCAAGTGTTGCTACCAAACACTGACATATGAATCCTCAGTATATGTCTGACAAGTCATGTTCAAGTGTTGCTACCAAACACTGACATATGAATCCTCAGTATATGTCTGATAAGTCATGTTTAAGTGTTGCTACCAAACACTGACATATGAATCCTCAGTATAATTAGGTTGACCCTCTCACTCTAAACACAATTTTTCAAGATATAAACAACATTTACCTCATCTGAGATTTCAGTGACATCCACACTCCCATCAGGGTTCCTCACAATCTTCAAGCCCAATGGAATCCAGCTTGGCCCAAATTCATCATCTTCTTCTGGCTGCTTTTTCTTCATGTCAGCTTCGCACCTGCGCACAATCAGTAACTAGCTTCAGGAAAGCTTCATGTTTTACAAATATAAATTTATGCATGCTAATTCCAGAACAAACACAATTTATTAACATCATATGCGACTCTAATAGGTGGTAGTTTCCGATCACTTGAATCTCAAATCACACCTGTACTTTTGTCCCAATTATATCATCTGACCAAGCAATTAATGTATTTATTTTTGAGTTGAGTTGATTCAAGAACTGAATAGCACGCACTCGGGGTGTTCCCATTAGCACTCCGTCTGCAGCATTCAGCGCAGAGTTCCAATACCAATGGAACAGTAGCAGTCTGATTATAAATCTGTCTTGCCTTTTCTCTAAACAGCGAGTATGGGCCAGATCCCCTTCTCACTCTCACCAGACTGGTGATCCATTCTCCCTTCTGAATTGTCAACGTGCTCCCATTTATCTCGCTGAACTTCCCTCCTCCCCCTCGTCTAATTTGTTTTCTTTAAATTTGCCAGTAGTCATTATGTTTCCAATTTGTAATATGTTCAAAAACATCTTGACCATCTGCAATAAATTTCTCTGATGAATTTTGGAATCACATTCTAGCATTATCAGACATGGCTTAATAGTTTACACAAGTCAAATAACTTCTTTTTCTTCAGTATTGAGGTTTACTGCTGCAGACATCACCTGCCACCATTCATCTCTGACTGGCTTTCTCGTTTCAACTGGTGACTTAGGTGTTTGTAGATCTGCCTGTTTATTTTATCTCCGTCTTCTTGGTCTGCCTCCTGGTCTTTTTCCATTCAACTCTTTTGTGCACACCAGTTTTAGAAAACTACAATGGGAGGAAAAACCCCATCTTGGACAAACTCACACCTAAAGTTTCTAAGTAAACAATTTATTAGAGGCCACACACAAAGTCTCTAAGTCAACAACTTACTCTCGAGGCCACACCCAAAGTCTCTAAGTCAACAACTTACCCTCGAGACTACCCCTAAAGTCTCTGCGTCAACAACTTACTCTCAAGGCCACCCCTAAAGTCCCTAAGGCAACAACTTACTCTCGAGACCACCCCTGAAATCTCTAAGTCAACAACTTACTCTCAAGGCCACTCCTAAAGTCCCTAAGTCAACAACTTACTCTCAAGGCCACCCCTAAAGTCTCTAAGTCAAGAACTTACTCTCAGGGCCACCCCTAAAGTCTCTGAGTCAACAACTTACTCTCAAGGCCACCCCTAAAGTCTCTTAGTCAACAACTTACTCTCAAGGCCACCCCTAAAGTCTCTAAGTCAACAACTTACTCTCAAGGCCACTCCTAAAGTCCCTAAGTCAACAACTTACTCTCAAGGCCACCCCTAAAGTCCCTAAGTCAACAACTTACTCTCAAGGCCACCCCTAAAGTCTCTAAGTCAACAACTTACTCTCGAGGCCACCCCTAAAGTCTCTAAGTCAAGAACTTACTCTTAGGGCCACCCCTAAAGTCTCTGAGTCAACAACTTACTCTCAAGGCCACCCCTAAAGTCTCTAAGTCAACAACTTACTCTCAAGGCCACCCCTAAAGTCTCTAAGTCAACAACTTACTCTCGAGGCCCATCATGCTGGAAGCGGCAGTCCGGCCGGTGGCAGGCGTTGCCAAATCGGCATCTGATGGCCGACTGGGAAGATGGCCTGATGACAGCAGACGGAACCATCACATCTTTGTGTCGCTGTCGAATAATCTGAATGACAAGACAATTTGTTCAGCAACTTCAAATATGATAAACCTGCTATGAATTAGACCAGGATAACTTACATATTTTTCTCGCTGCAATGAATACGACTAATAATTATGAGAAATCAAATTATTTGCCAGTCTTCTTCTTCGTCTTTATGTTCACCAGCTGTAAACTCTGGAGGAAAGAAAGTTTTGGTTGTTCATCCACGGTTCCAGAACCTGAGTGTTGCATGTGCATCAATTTTACAGATCTGACTGTGTGCAGACTGCTGGTTCCTTGCCTTGCAGGCAGAGGCACTGACTTTGAAGGAAGCTCCCAATTAGTTGATTCTTACGACACGCTTTTGGGTAGGCAGTGGGTCTATTCTTGTTTTCCCTATAATAGGGCCCCGAACCCACGAAGGGAATTTTGCCTATGAATGTGACAATGTCAAACTAGATTACTCCACCTTTCAACAAACATGCTCATGTTAAAATTGAAGACCCTTGCAGTATATTATAAATGTGAGTAGGAACTGTGACCATACTTGGCACATTCTAAATTTTTACAGATGTGACTAGCAAGAAAAAAAAAAAAGGGTGTATCTACATTGTGTGAATGTGACTGCAACACAGGTGTATTCTAGGAACAGAGACATCTTTAGTTTAGCCAGAGATGGAACCTTTGAACTTTTAATATACAAGTCTCTGATGATGTATCAGTTATGTACATGGTTTTATGATTATCTCCTGTCTATAAAATAATATAAAAGGGAGAGCTTTGGGTATTTGTTTCAGTGTTTGCTTGATGTCCTTGGAATATGTATATATACATATAGACCATTGTGGTAGCACATCTAGTTAACTGCTTTAAGTTGGTCATGCTTACCTCAAACTGGATCTTCCAGAAGTCCAGATTCTTCTCATTCTCTGTGTGACAATTCAAAGCCAGAACATCCGGAAGATTCTGTATGCTCTTCCGCTGACACTAACAGAAAAAGGAAAAAACAAGACACATGGTCACATCTGCGTACAGTATAGTTACTGGGTGCCAAGTTGACTGGCACGTTTGTGTCTCACTACAAACTGTTCATATCACAACTGTATTTCAAGATGACAGATAACCAAGCAGTAACTGAGTTGAGTCAAGAATTTACATTACAGAGCTTGGGGCATTCCTATGCAAGCTCTGTCCTCCTCTTCAGCAGCTAGCACAGATTTCCAATACTGATGGTACTGGTCACAATCTGGTTATATGTGTGTCTTGCTTTTCCTCCGAGTGTAGTGAGCTGGCCAGACCCTCTGGTTACATACACCCAGTTGCCTCATTTCCAAACAGTAACTGAACACTTTGTAAGAGCTGCTTACCTTACACAAAAGATTTAATTGAGGACTGACTGAATCCAGGTTTCATTCTCACAAGATTAACACTAACCTTAGGCTGCTTCATGAGCCAAGTTACGCAACAAACGACTGTCAAACACACATAAAGCAAGCTTTCAACAAGTATTTGAAACTAAAGTATACATTTATAAACTATGTAAACAAACTACAACATTTTTAAAACATCTCAGAACTATTTGCAAACATAGCTTAACAAGAATGAACATAGTGAATGTGTTTTTGCCTGCAGGCAGACAGGGCATGTGATGTGGTTAACTTCCTCTGCCCATCTTCCTTCCCATCATATTCCCTGGTATCCCTTTTAAGCTAACTGATCTGGCAAAAATGGTAATTTTCAAAATCCCCCTTCTATGGCCATCGCGCTTGTAGACAACCTTGCTAGCCACTGCATTACCAATGTAGTTTTCAGACAGGATATCCCAAAAACATACATCAAGGACATGCCACATACAACTGTAACAACACAATACAAGTAAAGTTACGCACATGGTGCTGGTATCGATTACAAGTTGAACACCAGGCCTGGATATTGGTGGCTGCAGTCATGCTATGCTGGACTACCTCACCAAAACTGATGAACAACGGGGGTGAGTTCGGACCTGCAAGCAGACAAAACAAAAACATCAAACACTGAGCTAGTCACAATTCTGTTGACAGTGAGTGTAACCATTGACACGGCCATGCTACCTGTGTCCTTCCTTCTCGACACCAGTGAAAATCTGCGCCTCAAATATATCTAGTTTAATATCTAAGGCAAATAAGGGGAAATGGTGGATCAGTGATGCAATCCCTACCAGATGCTGCCAGCGTGTCAATCCACTTATGGACAATTCTAGGAAGCTATGATGTTATACCTTCTCTGATTCCAAGTTACCAAGTTAGTGGATCAGATGACCAGGTTTGCTCAGACACCAATATGCAGGTGCATACAGCATTCACCTCTCTAGTCTGGGGAACAGTTTGAATCTATCATTGACATAAAGTCTGCTTGCCCAACCTTCCAACAAAAGTACCTCCCAAAAACAACACCTTGGTGTGAATTCAAATCTGCTATGCTATTGGTTCTGAATCATGCGACACAACCAGAAGAAATAATTACAGACCTATTCTCTTGAATACATGGAAAAGTTAATCTCACCCATAGGACGGCATTCAGGGTACATGAGGTTGATGTGTGTCCCATCCACGTAGCGGTCGCTGGTCAGGCCACATTTACACTGCAGAGATGACATAATGTTGATGCCCAGCAGGTCACGGATGATGGAGCGAGTCATGGGCCTGGAATATTTTCATTAACAATTTACATACACATGAATATTCAGAATCTATGATGGGTTTTATACAAAATAAGCAGCACAAATAGGTCTCAGGCGAATTACAGCTATGTACTGTCTGTTGTCCTGTCTATGTTGTATAGATTCTGTCACTGACTGTTCCAGCTATGTACTGTCTGTTGTCCTACCCATGTTGTATAGATTCTGTCACTGACTGTTCCAGCTATGTACTGTCTGTTGTCCTACCCATGTTGTATAGATTATGTCACTGACTGTTCCAGCTATGTACTGTCTGTTGTCCTACCCATGTTGTATAGATTCTGTCACTGACTGTTCCAGCTATGTACTGACTGTTGTCCTACCCATGTTGTAAAGATTCTGTCACTGACTGTTCCAGCTATGTACTGTCTGTTGTCCTACCCATGTTGTATAGATTCTGTCACTGACTGTTCCAGCTATGTACTGTCTGTTGTCCTGTCCATGTTGTATAGATTCTGTCACTGACTGTTCCAGCTATAATGATTTCTGCAGATTACGATAGAATTTTGTTTTCGAACAGACCACTGCTGTGAGTTACGGGTCCATCCAGCACTGTCTACAGCAGGGGTTCTCAACCTGTGAGTGGCGACCTAGTGTGTGGGTCAAATGACCTTTACAGCGGTCACCTAAGACCATAGTGAAAACATAGATTCCTTGAAGTTATAAAGGATTAACGAAAATAATTGCATGTCTCGCGGTCGCACAACATAAGGAACTGCATTAAAGGGTCACAGAAATAGGAAGTTTGAGAAGCACTGGTGTACACTAATACTTACGCCTGTGGTTCATCTGCGCTTGTCTCACAGCTCTCACTGAAACAGACAACAGATCTGCTAGAGAACACAATGACTACTCTTGCAACTAAAGATTTTACCCATTCTCTACATTATAACTGTGACATGCAAACAATTTGTTGGAACCTTCCTATCATTCTAAACAGTAGTATTACAATGTTTTATTGCAGGAATGAGAATCACAGCCTGTGCTGAGGACATGTATGGCTTGTAAAGCCAGATCTCATTATCACAACTCTTCCACAATATGAGATTTCAGGAGCATCATTGTTGCCGGTGCATGTGTTAATTCTCAAACACTCAACCTTTTCTCTGTGTCCATATTCCCCTCTATGCAACTCCATCTATGGTATCATGCTCCTATGAATCCATCCCTATATCTATATCATTCATGTCCTGCAAGCACGAAATAATATCCCTAACATCCAGCAACTAAAGTTATTTATTTTATATAGATGACTGACAGGCACGTACAATTACAAATAAATATAAATTAATGCCTGGTCATAAACAATGTGGAAGCATAAATAATTACTGTAAGAGAACAGCTACTGTGGCACAAATAAATATTGCCAGATTTTTTTAACTACCAGACCGCTGTACTTAATTTTTAGTACTTTGCTTACTACATGAAAAAAAAAAACCAACCAATCATTGTCAAGCCTTGTGGTTAGTCATTACAAATGGCTTCCCCTACGTGTTTAGATTTAATTTGTGTGTTTAACGTGAAAAAAATTCGGAAAATGCACAATGAAACGAGCAGCTGATGAACCAAGCACTTCAACAGGAAAGTAAAGTAGGTCTCGGCTTTTCACAGCCCAACAGATGATCGATACATTGGTTGATTCAGTTTCTGAGGAGTCAGAATTTTAGAAAAGAATACGTTCCCAGTTCAAGTGATACAGACAGCCTGAGCTCAAGTGATGAGGAGAATCTTGAACCTTATAGTTCTAGAACTAGATTGATAGTAAGAGAAGGGAGCACGTCCCTCAAACAGCAACATCTGGTGCTCACTTTGTAAAACAAGGCTCTTCCTGCTGGGTGGATTGGCACACAAAGGTGGAATACTGGTGCTAGATGAAAGGTAAACCTATTTTCTACAATGTCTCCAAGTTTCACTTTATTCTAGCCACTTGTTTGCATGTAACTTATGTTTTTAAATATGTTGGTTTTTGTGTATGTTGATGCCAAGCTCATCAGGTATAGAGGGCAGTTAGGTTCAGGGCCTCAGGTCTGGTAGGGTTAAATAAGGACAGGACACACTGCACAATTACTGTCTGGTATATTTCCCTGCATCTTGTCAGGTGCCAAAATAGGCACAATTACTGTCTGGCATATTTCCCTGAATCTTGTCAGGTGCCGAACTAGGCACAATTACTGTCTGGCATATTTTCCAGCTCTTGTCAGTTACCTAACTACGCACAATTACTGTCTGGCATATTTCCCTGAATCTTGTCAGGTGCCGAACTACGTACAATTACTTTCTGGCATATTTCCCTGAATCTTGTCAGGTGCCGAACTAGGCACAATAAGTGTCTGGCATATTTTCCTAAATCTTGTCAGGTGCCGAACTACGTACAATTATTTTCTGGCATATTTCCCTGAATCTTGTCAGGTGCCAAACTACGCAGAATTACTGTCTGGCATATTTCGCTGCATCTTGTCAGGTGCCGAACTAGGCACAATTACTGTCTGGCATATTTCCCTGCATCTTGTCAGGTGCCGAACTAAGGAGTCCACATCAACATATAATCTATTCAAATCCCCAGCAGAAATATTGTCAGTCACTAGCAGTTACACAGTAATTTACTGTTCATGGCACTAACTACTGTACTATTTTTAAGTTTTTAGGGCATGGCTGTGGGTCAGTAGGGGAAGGTATCTAGCCTTACTGCATATTTATTAAGATTCAGAGCAGTCTGGGTAAGTCTCATGTATTTTATATCATTTGATCTTTTGTTGTCCTCTTTTTCAATTTTATAACATAATACAGGTAATTTACATAATAAAATAAACATATTTTAGCGTCATTTATTTAATTTTTTTTGATCAGTGTTTGCTGATGAAGACTTGTCACCACAAAGCCAATGCTGTACTGTATTCTAAAAAGCTGACAATTAAGTCTTGCTTTTCTCATATATTTTTTTTTACAAGTGTACTGTCAGCTACTCTATGTACCAAGCAACGTTTTGTGTTTTGTTATATCACTTACATCTGGTCTGCACAAACTAAGATCAGGCCAGATCATTTACCATTCACAAAGCAGCCAAAAAAGTCACAAAATTAAAGTATCAGCGTGACAATTTTATGAATTTGTATGTAAACATTTAAGTTCAAATTTCATCATTTTCTTCTTTAGTGACTGTTAAATTATAGACGGCCAAAACACACTGAGGTTTTTGGTTATTTCTGAACAACAAAATGACAGAGCTTGATTTATGCAGCCAGTAAAACAGGAAGCACATGGGAAAACTCAGGTCCTGGTTCAAAGCTACAGTTCAAATGGACAAATAAGCAAAACTTTCCCAGTAGTTTCCAGGCAATGAATGCAAAGACGTATGCAGAAACCTGGTGTAACTGAGACAACAATGTGTCAGCTAACAATACATGAACACAGGGTCATGCCACACACACATCACTGAGACAACAATGTGTCGTCTAACAATACATGGAACACCGGGTCATGCCACACACACATCACTGAGACAATGTGTCGGCTAACAATACATGAACACCAGGTGATGCCACACACACATCACTGAGACAACAATTTGTCAGCTAACAATACATGAACACCGGGTGATGCCACACACACATCACTGAGACAACAATTTGTCAGCTAACAATACATGAACACCAGGGGATGCCACACACACATCACTGAGACAACAATTTGTCAGCTAACAATACATGAACACCGGGTCATGCCACACACACATCACTGAGACAACAATTTGTCAGCTAACAATACATGAACACCGGGTCATGCCACACACACATCACTGAGACAACAATGTGTCAGCTAACAATACATGAACATCGGGTAATGCCACACACACATCACTGAGACAACAATTTGTCAGCTAACAATACATGAACACCGGGTGATGCCACACACACATCACTGAGACAACAATTTGTCAGCTAACAATACATGAACATCGGGTAATGCCACACACATCACTGAGACAACAATTTGTCAGCTAACAATACATGAACATCGGGTGATGCCATACACACATCACTGAGACAACAATTTGTCAGCTAACAATACATGAACATCGGGTGATGCCACACACACATTACTGAGACAACAATTTGCCAGCTAACAATACATGAACATCGGGTGATGCCACACACACTGAGACAACAATGTGTCAGCTAACAATACATGAACACTGGGTGATGCCACACACATCACTGAGACAACAACTTGTCAGCTAACAATACATGAACACTGGGTGATGCCACACACACATCACTGAGACAACAATGTGTCAGCTAACAATACATGAACACACTGGGTGATGCCACACATATAACGGACAATCAATTACCTATTCTCAGTGCTGGTTTCCTCTTGCTGTGACCTTTGACCCTTATTGGCCTCTCCACCATTCTGTGCCGCCTTTTTGCCTCGTTTCTTCTTGCCCCCAGACTTTTTGCCACCGTCGCCATTGTCGACAACAGCAACTGTGTCACTGCTTGTGTCAGCCTTGCCCCCTGCCGCAGATGTGGTGTCCGCTGACTCCACTTGAACACAGGTTTCCTGTTGGAAATATCCACATAATGACATGTACCAAACAGCACACAAGACTTTGTGACAGCAGAACATCAGGGCAACACCAAGACAAATGGTGTCGCTGAAACCTGTAAAAAAGATGAACAAATTCTCCACCAGAGCCACTCCAGAAGTGCAACACAAATAAACCACAACACCCTGGTATCGGTGAGATGACCCACACAAAAACAGATGTGTAATTACTTCAAATGATTTAGTCACTACTACCTACAACTGGTCTCACCATCTTCATACTATGTTCACAGATGCTCAGTCGTCAAATGTGAGTTTTCCCATTAAGATATTTGCATTCATTGTAAATGATAGGAGAAATTATGTCACAATTTATGAAATATACTCAGCATTAAGTATATTTTTCTGTCAAATAACAGACTATATCAGATAACACATGTACAGCAATAAGACAAAACTGTTCACTGACTGAAAAATACAGTAAAATCTAGTTAAATTCCACAGGACACACAAAAATCAAGTGTTTGCATTTGTGCTAACCGGGGACTAATAATAATACATTCCCCTACAGGGAGCATAATTCTATTCATTTGAACCGAGTGTTTTTCTAAAGCAAGCTCTTGTTAATGTGGTTTTACTACTACAAGAGTGCAAGAGGACAGCAGTAACAGCAACCACCAGGTTGTGGACAGGTTGTACTGTTTCAAAGCTACCCCCAGTTAAACCAGAAACTGAGAAAACCATGTGTGGTGGCTTTATGTGCAATACAATCGTCAACACTAGACTGAGCTTGCCATAGACCATATAGACCAGGGCTATTCAAACTGGCAGCCTGTGGGCCAAATCTGGCCTGAGGATCATTGCCACTTGTGTTGTATTTGGGGCTGTACCGAATATTCGCTTCGTATTCGCTTCGGGGCCGAATAGTGGACCAAAAGACTATTCGGTATTAGGCCAAATAGTTGTGGTCGGGCCGATTACGAATAGTGGTTACCTTACATTCATTTCAGCATTCACTGCAATGGACTGAAATAACTCTCTCATTAACACAGTAGTTGCTGTTGCCTAAGTTTGTAGTAGCGGGGGAAAACTGTGACTCGGTTGCGTGGTACAGAAGCTGGTAAGGTATTGCCTGCTGACTCGACCGAGGCATCACAGCAAAGGTTCTCAAACTGGGTGCGCATGCCATGGGTGCCGGGGTGAAAATCAAGAAAAATCAGCTATAAATTACTATAATTATAATTCAGTCAGCTATAATTATAAATCAGCTTAAAATACCTTGAATAGCCAAAAAAAAAGCACCCAATAGGTTTTGAAAGAGGCAGGAGCCCGAAGACAGCTAATCACAGACATCGGAAGGAGACATAATTTTTCGGCCATGTTGTGAGAAGAGGGAAAATGGAACATGTATTGACCACTAGAAAGATCTGTGGAAGGAGGGATAGAGGAAGACAACGAGAGAAGATTCTTGACAGTCTTGTTGCATGGCATGGAGGTGTGCCAGTCAGCACACGAACTAATACATGCTGCAGCAGATCGCAGATTGTGGCGAGGCATAATCGCGCACGTCAGTCAGCAAGGCACCTGATGATGGTGATACACTATTCGTATTCGGCCAAATAGTTGGTCCCACTATTTGTATTCGGCCGAATAGTGAAAATCACTATTCGGTACAGCCCTAGTTGTATTAATGATCTTTCTACGCTGGCCTGTGACGATTATCATATTTAAAACTTAGGTCCCTGAGTAAACTTAGATGATCAGCCCTGATACAGACAGGCGAATCTGTGAGCAAGTTAAAGGTGATAAGATAGCTAAAGAATTCAGCCCTGTAATCCCTGTCAATGAGAAACGTTCACACAACTACCATCATCTGCAACATGAATGTATGTAAATGACAAGAGATCAAGGAGGACAGCAGGAGGGCGGTCTACCACGAAGAATATGTGTTGCGTGTTGAGCTCAGAACTGGTATTTCAGCACTCGGGACATTCTTGTGAAACCTCTGACATCTTCAGCAGCCAGTGAAGAGTTCCAATTCTGATGGTGCCAGAAGCCGCTTAAATATATGTTCATCTTGTTTTTCCCTCTGAATGTAGAGTGTCGACAAGAATCTCTAGTCACTCCAAGCTGCACCATTCTCTCCAGACCATAATGACTGATTCATACCTCTGCATTGTTCACTTGCTCCCTAAGGACTTTGACTGCATCTCACTTGTCATGTATACATTCCACCACCCAAAGGTGCAGAACCAGTCAATCTGCCTCACTGTTCATTTCCTAACACTCCTACATTTCTCTGAGAAAATATCTAAAGTACACTAACTACCCCGGTCCTTTGAAGCGATGCTTTCCACTCTGCACAGAGCAAGCTTAAAAATCCGCCTTTCTTAACCAGATTTCATCCTGAGCACAAAAATATTTCTGTGCTGAATGGAAAAATTTATGAACAGAGGTGAAGTACCAGTTTTCTTTATGAATCTGTGCAACATTTGATTTCTGGAATGACAATAGTGAAATAACAAATTACAATTCACAAGAGGCAAGCCATACAAACATCAAGCAGTAGAAGTACGTGCAACAGCCATACCTCGTGTATCTGCATGAGAACAAATCTCTGCCAGCTTTGGATAAGTCGAGGGAAATCCACTCTTCCACAGCTTTCATCATGAAGGACAAGTCCTAAAGCTGACACCTGAGGCATTGTTCGGAAAGCCCTCAAGAAGTTACCTGCCTGTTGGAAACAAAAACAAACAGTATACAACAAGCTGTAATTAAACACCAACTATAAAACAAACAAACAGTATACAACAAGCTGTAATTAAACACCAACTATAAAACAAACAAACAGTATACAACAAGCTGTAATTAAACACCAACTATAAAACAAACAGTATACAACAAGCTGTAATTAAACACCAACTATAAAACAAACAGTATACAACAAGCTGTAATTAAACACCAACTATAAAACAAACAAACAGTATACAACAAGCTGCAATTAAACACCAACTATAAAACAAACAGTATACAACAAGCTGTAATTAAACACCAACTATAAAACAAACAAACAGTATACAACAAGCTGTAATTAAACACCAACTATAAAACAAACAAACAGTATACAACAAGCTGTAATTAAACACCAACTATAAAACAAACAGTATACAACAAGCTGTAATTAAACACCAACTATAAAACAAACAAACAGTATACAACAAGCTGCAATTAAACACCAACTATAAAACAAACAGTATACAACAAGCTGTAATTAAACACCAACTATAAAACAAACAAACAGTATACAACAAGCTGTAATTAAACACCAACTATAAAACAAACAAACAGTATACAACAAGCTGTAATTAAACACCAACTATAAAACAAACAGTATACAACAAGCTGTAATTAAACACCAACTATAAAACAAACAAACAGTATACAACAAGCTGTAATTAAACACCAACTATAAAACAAACAGTATACAACAAGCTGTAATTAAACACCAACTATAAAACAAACAGTATACAACAAGCTGTAATTAAACACCAACTATAAAACAAACAGTATACAACAAGCTGTAATTAAACACCAACTATAAAACAAACAAACAGTATACAACAAGCTGTAATTAAACACCAACTATAAAACAAACAAACAGTATACAACAAGCTGTAATTAAACACCAACTATAAAACAAACAAACAGTATACAACAAGCTGCAATTAAACACCAACTATAAAACAAACAAACAGTATACAACAAGCTGCAATTAAACACCAACTATAAAACAAACAAACAGTATACAACAAGCTGTAATTAAACACCAACTATAAAACAAACAGTATACAACAAGCTGTAATTAAACACCAACTATAAAACAAACAAACAGTATACAACAAGCTGTAATTAAACACCAACTATAAAACAAACAGTATACAACAAGCTGTAATTAAACACCAACTATAAAACAAACAAACAGTATACAACAAGCTGTAATTATACACCAACTATAACTGAATTGTCTATTAAATGTTAAAACTATAAAAGTAAATTAACAACGTCAAGAGCACTGCGTCTGTGGCTTAGGCGTTTCGAGTTCAACTCGTAATTCTAATGTACCGCAATCGAAACCCACTGCTGGTTGCGTGGATTTTTATCATCATATGGGGTATCGCAGGTTAACCCAGCCTAAAATAGGTACCAGGATGGCTGTCCAGGGGAAGTAAAGACGGCCCGCGTAATGCTGACCACATCACCCACCTAGTGTCGATGGTCTGTAAAAAATATGGGCGTTCCTCCCATATACCCGATACGCCTAAAGGAGTGAAAAGGGATCTTTAGTTTACTTACTTTAACAACATCAAGAAGCAAGACACAGCTAATGCTGTTCTCTTGTCAGTGTAGCTCTCCTGTGTCAAAGTGTTCATTTGCTGTTCACCTACATTTAAATGTATCTGCCCGTCCTCCACCTTCCTCTCTCTTTCACGCGCGCACGCACACTCTCTCTCTCTCTAGCATACTTTCACGCACACACTCTCTCTCTCTAGCATACTCTTTCACGCGCACACTCTCTCTCTCTCTCTCTCTAGAGCACTCTTTCACGCGCACTCTCTCTCTCTAGCATACTCTTTCAGGCGCACACACTCTCTCTCTCTCTCTAGCATACTCTTTCACGCGCACACTCTCTGTCTCTAGCATACTCTTTCACGCGCACACACTCTCTGTCTCTAGCATACTCTTTCACGCGCACACACTCTCTCTAGCATACTCTTTCACGCGCACACTCTCTCTAGCATACTCTTTCACGCGCACACTCTCTCTAGCATACTCTTTCACGCGCACACTCTCTCTAGCATACTCTTTCACGCACACACTCTCTCTCTAGCATACTCTTTCACGCACACACTCTCTGTCTCTAGCATACTCTTTCACGCGCACACACTCTGTCTCTAGCATACTCTTTCACGCGCACACACTCTCTGTCTCTAGCATACTCTTTCACGCGCACACTCTCTGTCTCTAGCATACTCTTTCACGCGCACACTCTCTGTCTCTAGCATACTTTCACGCACACATTCTCTCTCTCTAGCATACTCTTTCACGCGCACACTCTCTCTCTCTCTCTAGCATACTCTTTCACGCGCACACTCTCTCTCTCTCTCTAGAGCACTCTTTCACGCGCACTCTCTCTCTCTAGCATACTCTTTCAGGCGCACACACTCTCTCTCTCTCTCTCTAGCATACTCTTTCACGCGCACACTCTCTGTCTCTAGCATACTCTTTCACGCGCACACACTCTCTGTCTCTAGCATACTCTTTCACGCGCACACACTCTCTGTCTCTAGCATACTCTTTCACGCGCACACACTCTCTGTCTCTAGCATACTCTTTCACGCGCACACACTCTCTGTCTCTAGCATACTCTTTCACGCGCACACTCTCTCTCTAGCATACTCTTTCACGCACACACTCTCTGTCTCTAGCATACTCTTTCACATGCACACTCTCTCTCTAGCATACTCTTTCACGCGCACACTCTCTGTCTCTAGCATACTCTTTCACGCGCACACACTCTCTCTAGCATACTCTTTCACGCGCACACTCTCTCTCTAGCATACTCTTTCACGCGCACACTCTCTCTCTAGCATACTCTTTCACGCGCACACTCTCTCTCTAGCATACTCTTTCACGCGCACACTCTCTCTCTAGCATACTCTTTCACGCGCACACTCTCTCTCTAGCATACTCTTTCACGCGCACACTCTGTCTCTAGCATACTCTTTCACGCGCACTCTCTCTCTAGCATACTCTTTCACGCGCACTCTCTCTCTAGCATACTCTTTCACGCGCACACACTCTCTCTAGCATACTCTTTCACGCGCACACTCTCTGTCTCTAGCATACTCTTTCACATGCACACTCTCTCTCTAGCATACTCTTTCACGCACACACTCTCTGTCTCTCTAGCATACTCTTTCACGCGCACACACTCTCTGTCTCTAGCATACTCTTTCACGCGCACACACTCTCTGTCTCTAGCATACTCTTTCACGCACAACCACACTTTCTCTCTAGCTTACACACACACACACACTCTAGCATACAGTCACTTTCTCTCTTTCACAAAACAATAGAAACTACAACACCAAAAATATTAGCTTTGAACAAACTATTTTCCAAGGGTTAAAAATTGGGCACTCAGGCCCATCTATTGTTCTGCCCTTCTATTCTCCCGCCTCTCATACATAATTTCATTCATTTATCAAGTAATATTAAATAAACATTAATAGCATCAAAATATTCAATACCAGCACTGGAATGTGCACACTTCTACTACAGTTGTAATAAATCTTGGAAAAATGTGCGCCATTTCTAAAATATTTTGTTTGCTTCTATGGGGGCATGTAATCTGTGCTCAGATAATATCCAAGCAGTTTCCGACTGTAGGTATAGGAATTCGTGTTAGTTGAACTGAAACAAGAACACCCCATTTTAGAAAATGTGGGACATGTGACTAAGGAGCTTACCTGGCAGGTGTTACCCTTCTGCGAGTCCAACATGTGAAACAGGAAGCCGAGCTCACACGACAGGCAGAACTCTCGCTCACAGACATGGCCTAGTAAGGCACAGCGAAGCGGTTCGATGTAATACAGCACCTGGGGGGAATAATATACATCTGCTTGAAATCTGCTGGACAGATGTGCAGAGATTCTATAGAGTATTTCTAGAGAGATTTGTAGAGATTCTTTAGAGTATTTCCAGAGAGATTTGTAGAGATTTTATAGAGTAATTCTAGAGAGAGGTGTAAAGATTCTTTACAGTGTTTCTAGAGAGATTTGAAGAGATTCTACAGACTATTTCTGGAGATTTGTAGAGATTCTTAAAATAAGGTTAGTTGCGCATCCTTTATTGGACGTTGCAGAACCAACCCCAGCAGCCCCTGGCTGTTGTGTGGTTTTCTCTAGGCAATATTACATCCAGTAGTGTTTTTTTTTTAATATAGATTCTTTCAAAAATAAAGATTCTATAGAGTATTTCTGTAGAGATTTATAGAGATTCTTTAGACTATTTCTAGACAGACTTGTACAGATTCTACAGACTATTTCTAGAAAGATTTGAAGAGATGATTTAAAGTATTTCTAGATAATACAGAAATTTGTAGAGATACTACAGGTTATTTCTAGGAGATTTGTAGAGATATTATAGACTATTTCTAGAGATTTGCAGAGATTCTTTAGAGTATTTTAAGAGATATTTGCAGAATTTTTTTTTATGGAGTATTCCTACAGAGATTTGCAGAGATTCTTTGGAGTATTTCTGCAGAGATTTAAAGAGATTCTTTAGAGTATTTCTGCAGAGATTTAAAGAGATTCTTTAGAGTATTTCTAGAGAGATTTGTAGGAAAGCTAGAGTATTTCTTTGAAGATTTATAGAGAGTCGACAGAGTATTTCTAGAGTTGTATAGAGATTCTATAGCCCAGTGTAACAGGTTTAAAAAAGAGATTCTACAGAGCACTTCTAGGAGGGTTTGAGGTACAAATTCTATAGAGTACTGCTAGAGAGGTTTGAAGTAAAGATTATGAAGACCTGCTATAGACTATACAGGCTTGCTATAAAGACTTGCTATAGACTATACAGGCTTGCTATAAAGACTTGCTATAGACTATACAGGCTTGCTATAAAGACCTGCTATAGACTATACAGGCTTGCTATAAAGACCTGCTATAGACT